CAATAGACATGTAGCTTCCTGATCGATGACGGAATAGAAGTTTAGTTGGATTCTTATTTTGAACTGCATGCCCTTCTGATGTCTTACGACAAGAAAGAAATACACCGTATATACGTAGTAAGGTCAAATGGAGCTTTTATACACGGGAGAAACCCCTTTTCATGGCACGTCTATTTTGGTTTTATGACTGTACAATTAAAAATAAGAGAGTTTTGGGCTTTTAAAAATATGCGATGTGGCCTAATTACATAGTGATATTGTTATGACAAAAGAAATTTTAATCAGTTACTCCATAACTATGTACTGTATACCTCAGCAAATCGGACAAAGGTTACACCGGCCAATGAATATTGACATAAAATAATCAGATGGACCAACTTTTAGTTAAGTTGAAAACACACAAAAAGTTATTTTTTTGGCCTTTCTGGTAAAATTTCAATTTTGGCATATACGTGTTTCTGTCATAAGACGTCAGCTTTGTGCGCAACGTCTGCGGTCATCGTGTTTGGTCACAGCAGGGGGTCACAGCAGGGGGTCACTGTGTGGGTAGAGGGCGACGGGGTCACAGGGGGTGGCAATTATGTCTCTGTGCAAAGACATGGGGGGAGGGGGGGGGTAAACTCTGCTTTTATTGATGCCAAAACGGAAACCAAGAGAATCCAGTCGAAATTGTCCATCCAAGACGGCAACCCAATATCGTTGAGAAGAGTGATTGTCTTAGAGAGGATGTCTAGGGAAGTTTGTCGTTATAATATATATAGAAAAAAAAACCCCGCAAGGGGGCAAGTTGTTTAGGTGATTGTCTTGGACAGGTGGTCGTTAGAGCGGGCGGCTGTACTCACCTTGTACACTGCCTCTGCGTCATCACGGAGCTGCCTGTCTTCCTCCGAGCCACCTCCTTTTCCTCCTCCTCCGCCTCCTTTTCCTCCTCCTCTTCCAGTCTTGGCGCGCTGTCTCTGTCGCGTGGGTGAGTCCCCTCTACCCTGTACTCCTGTAAGGCGCATTCCACTAGGACCGGCTTTGGCAGCAGCTGGACTGCTAGCTGATCCATCCGTACCCTTAGCCACACTGAGGATATTATTTTTAAAATACAATAATTCACTCACCATTAAAAAAATAATAATGTTTTACATCTATGCACCTTGGAACGTTTAGGAGGCGGTATCCTTGGCGTCTCTAAAGATATTTTTTAAAATACGATCAATCCACTCATAATTGTTTAAATATAATTATTTTTTTTACACCGACACAATTTGGAACATTTAAGAGGCAGTACGCTTGAAGACACTGGGGATATCTTAAAAGAAACAAAACATTTCACTAATTATGTTTTAAACATCATAAATATTTTATATCGACACAATCTGGAATATTTAGTCTTAGTTTTAGTAGAGATTTTATGGAGCTCGAATCTGCATAAGGTCACATTATGAACGCCAGAAGATTAGGTGTTACGAGAGAGTAACAAGCATAAGAAAAGAAGAAGGGGAGATAAGGACGATAGATGTTTGCTAGGAAAGAAGAAACAAACCACACCAGAGCACCCGCCAACAACCCACGGAGTATTTTGGAGGCGGGTTGCTTCCACAGTCAGCCCACGCCGAGAAGGATACTGCACCAAAGTAGACAGACGGAGATACTGGCTCAAAAACTTCCCCCCTCCCCTCCCCCGCCCCGAAAACGAAACCACGTTGTGGGCGATTGGCGGGTGGTCTGGTGTGCTTTGTTCCTTCTTTCCTATCAAACATCTATCGTCCTGATCTCTCCTTCTTCTTTTTTTATATTTGTTACTCTTTTGTAACACCTCTAATCTTCGGCACTTATATAACCTTATTGTGTTGCAAGGAGTGCCGTAAAACTCTTACTAAAACTAAAACAACCCACGTCTTCTATATGCAACAGAAACGGGTCCAGCTACTACATCTAAAACTCTGGTTCACTGACCGATGATCTCTTCGATTCTTTTGTGTATTGTAATCCACGGTCAAAGCAAAAAAATAGCAAGACTTAAAGATAGAAAAGGAAACAGAGGGAGATTAATGATCACTTTGTACCAGCCACCCTTCAATCATCCACCACTATTACTTGGTGAAACATATGGTTTCGTCAAAAATGTGAGCCTTGGTTCGCTTTGACGTTCATTTCAGATAAAGGTAGTGGATAATGGCTTTGTTTATAACCAAATTACAAGAGGGAAAATGAACTCTTAACACACACAGGAGGAACGAGATCTATCTCATAAAGGCAAAACTAAGGAAAAAATAAGATTACAAGATCAAAACACAAGGAAAGGAATGAAACAAACCGCTAAATAAAACATGAGAAAGTACATTCTGATTACGGATACGTTACATAATGCATCTAGTATCAACCAAAGTAATAAATCAGCAAGCGTGAAATGAGTACTGAGCAGGCTTCTAAACACAAAACAAAACAAAAAACTATGGTCACCGTGCCTCAATTAGTTGACACTGTTCCAAAAAGGAAGTTTGATTACCCC